CATTATTGAAAAATTGAAATCCTATTTTTCATAGGATTATATATATATATATATATATATATATATATATATATATATATATATATATATATATATATATATATTACAGGAAATAGATCCGTTGGTATATATTCCAGATGCATCTTAATAATATCAAATATTAAAACTGATCCACAAAGAGAGCTCAATGTATTTATTATAACAGAGCATATAAATTACACAGGAAAAAATCCCAAATTAGCACACGTTGGTATATAAGTCTATTTCAGCCAACGCTGGGCTTAATCAACCCCGGTAGATTGACAGTCCGTCTGCTGGGGTTGAATAAGACCAACTTATTTAGCGCTGACGGAAATAGATTTATACCCACATGAGGTAATTTTGGATTTTTTTTGTGTAATATATATATATATATATATATATATATATATATATATATATATATATATATATTGTTAAATTAGACCAATAATTGTACCCCCACCTTAGATTTTACAAGTATATTTTTAATACCTTACATATTTGCGACGAGATATTTCTTTATTTCTTTGAATATGCAGATTATGGAATATTTTTTTGTATCCCGTTAAACTAAAGCAAGTTCTTGGAAGAGAACATTCCCCACCTCCTGTCTGGTCTCTGATCGCAAGCCAGACGAACGCTGCTTGTCTGATAAGTACAAGTGACCCTACTAGTGTTAATGGATAACGCCTACTCACTTTCATATGCCAACACGTGACTTAACCCCTAACGGTTTTTTTCGCGCGTGTTGGGATATAACAACTTCACCTAGCTGCTTGCTTTCAGAGGAATCGGACGTCACCAACAATCGAATGACCGACTAAAGAATCATGAACGGTATTCTCAAACCCAATTCGTCTATACTCCTGTGGTTTATTTGCGTATACTACTCGTCCTCGGCAAGGATTGAACGGCGTTAATCAAGGACTTATATCAGGACATTAGCAATTCCACCTTTTTCGATCGGAGAATTGAATGGACATCTTTTCTTTCGAACTTTATTTCTGATAACAATCGATCGACGTCGATCCCTACAATTTGTCACTATTTTTCGTTGCATTGATATATGTTTGATCAACCAATTGTCCCCTCATCCTTTTTACTATTTAGTTTTCTTTTCTTTTCTTTAATTTAATACACTGTATATTGTATAAATAAAGTATTTTTATTATATGTTCTCGTGTCGTCTTTTGTTGTTCTGTGTCTGCATATTGTTCGTTTTCTTGTCCGGAGTTGGAGAATTCCCCTAGGATACTCTCGTTTATTTTTTTTTTTATCGTTCCGTCCCGGCTATCGTAGTCCCAACGATACCCCGGACGTAACTATATATATATATATATATATATATATATATATATATATATATATATATATATATATATATAATAATTTGACAATTATTTTGATATATCTATTTTTTATACATTATTTTTACAGATGCAAATATTTAAGTAAATGTACTGTTTATAATAAATGGTATTGACAACATTTCATAGAAAATATCTTTTCTCCGACAGGAATCAAATCTGTATCCTACATACCATTTATAGAGGCAGCGTCTGGTTAGCAGTAATTCGACCTTGCTAACCAAAGAATTCCTCTGTAGACCCTAGAGTTATTCTGTTTGGAAATCTCCAATAATTTTATTGATTTTCTAGGATTCTACACCGGCATTATAGGACGTGATGAGTTTGCTGATAGATTTATTAGTGTTGTTTTTCTTTAATTTTGTGATTTTAGATCGATCATCGGTGAAGTGTTGTAATTTTCTGTAATAATCTAATTTATCCAAAGTTACGTAAGTATTAGATATATCAGCTCTTTTGATGAAGACATTAGGATTGTTTTTGAGTTATTTAGCAGCAATTTTGAGTTTTGTTGTTGGAATGTTATTGTAGCTATTGTGTGGTAAACGATTATTTAGAGTTTCTGCATAGAGAAGATCTCTGAGGTTTAGATGATCTTTTTTAATCATTTCTCATTTTCCAGTTGATTGTCAGTGTTTAAGTGTTTCCGTGTCCCGCTGAGATCACTTTCGCGATTGGTCAGACGTCTGTCCAGAGAATTTATTGCGTGACCAATGTAATTGTTTATATTATTATTGTTGCTGACGCATACAGAGTACCCCACGAGAAAGGTGGACTATTAAACGAGGTTGGCGGTTCAGAGTTTGGTTCCAATAGGCGATAAGAGTTATTGGCGATTATCAGGTTGGAAGTTTGTAATTTTCTGTAATATATGACAAGTTTTACGGCTTTGTTTTCGTGGCATGTCGAATTCATCTTGTTTATAATTTTATATAATATTGTGGTTCGTTTTTCAGTAGTGATAGTGTTTAACAAAAAATACACACACACACACACACACATATATATATATATATATATATATATATATATATATATATATATATATATATATATATATAAAGAATTGATGGATTTATTTTAATCCGACATTTTTATTACTTCAAACGTTATTATAATGGATGCACATATTTGAAATAGACGCCCTATTTTATTTTTATTTTCAATGGTGTGTATTACATCTCTCGGTCTACGCATTCAAGAAATCACAATAAAGGAAATGTCTTCTGTGGCAGGGATCGTACCTTCCTTCCCCTTTTGTAAGAGAAATCACAGTTTGTTCCGACGTGCTTTACCGCTCGGCTACAGAAAGCGCCACGGTAAAACACACAAAAATATCTGGAGGAGGAAATGTGCTTTCTTTAACTGGAAAAATAGTGTCTTTCGGAACTGTGACGCTCTCTGTAACGGAGCGTAAAACACACCGGATGAAACGGCATTTCCTTCTGCCGATGAGCACATTTCCTTTATTAATATTTCTCAAATGCGCAGGACGATAGATTTAATACACACTGTTTAAAATAAAAAATAAATGAAGCGTATATTTCAAATACAAGTATCCTCAATAATAACATTTGAAGTAACATATATATATATATATATATATATATATATATATATATATATATATGATTCCTTCGCTACTTAAGAGTTCTCAAGTTTCATAAACGAGAGCCGAAACCGTCAATATAATTATTAAAATTAAATTGAATTAAATAACAAGCCCTGTTTCATCCTGTTTCATATATATACTGTTTTTCCCGCTACAACACGTATATTGTTTTAATTTAACCTTATTTGTTACCTTTTTAACCTATGTAATTTTTTCAATTGTCTTCGTTTTTTATCACTTCCTTTGAGCACACAGGCTCTGAGCAAACGGTTCATTCCTTCTCCCCCTGAATCTTAACCCTCTGGATAAGATCGCCAGTATGTACCTTCGTAAACTTTTTCTCTTATTGTATTATCATTTGAACCTTTGTTTAAGCTATTCAACATTTATACGTTTCTTTTGCTATTGTCTTTCTGCATATTGGTCCCCAACCCTGCTCGACGTGTTGGTCTTTTTACACACTGTTCTCATACGGTAACTTTCTACTTTTCTGAAAACTTGCACTGCAAACTACAACCTATATTCTATACGCATTAAGACCATCAGTCTAAATTATATTCAGTTTTCGTCCTCTGTTACATTTCTCTGCTCCCTGTCTATTATTTTTGTATTTATTTCTTTTTCTAGTTTCATCCTTTGGATTTTAATAAAACTCCTGATGAACACAACTTTGTCTTCAAAGTTTTATTGACCAGAAGACGTTTATCTGGCTGCCTGATGTGCGCATGCGTGCGAGACGGACGCGTACCGAGAATCAGAAAAAAGTTATCTATCTATCTATCTATCTATCTATCTATCTATCTATCTATCTATCTATTTATATATATATATATATATATATATATATATATATATATATATATATATATATATGGGGAGAGAGAGAGAGGGGGGAGATAAATAAAAAAGAAGGAAAGAGTTTATAGATTACAAAAACGTTTTCTGCTTTTCATGGTTACCTTTGGGTATGATTTTCTTTTTTAACTAAGTGTTATTTTTCTTCGATAAGGTGTCTTTTTATACGTAATTATCAAATGGAACCTTTAAAGTATGTGTTAATTAGAAAAAGTATTTGTTTCTTAGAAAAAGTCAAACTATACCAAAAAATCCTCACAAAGGTCTGACGTCATTCTTAAAAAAATCATCACTGATTTTTTTGTGTTCGCAAATTTAATCATGTTTTTATTTGTGCATATACATGTTTCTGTATGAATAGGTTTGCATTTCTGAGAAGTGCGTTTGTTCTTAATTCATAGATATATGTTTGCGCGCTTTCCATGTATATTTTATTGTTTTCCTTTTGTAAATATTTTATTTTAAAATTTTGAATGTTTTTCGGATGTGAGCATGTTCCTTTGACATATGCTTTTTAATCATATATTTATATACATTCTATGTTTAAAAATGTATAACAGTAGCTTTTCTATTTCGACTTCCATGAATATAAAAAAGCAGTTGAAAAGAATATGGAAAGCAAATAGCAGCTAAAAAGAATCAGAGACTGTGATTTTCCCCAGGGTTCGAGACATCGGCAGTATTGACAAAGCGCCCATATCTCTTGAGCATTGAAACTGGCACATAATTCTGATAACGCCGATGTCTAAATCGGAAACCATTTCCTGAAAAATGCAGCTAATAAACAAGAAAGACGGTCACAGAACTGGGAATACGCCGCTCCTGTGACTCAATCAAAAATGTCTTTTGCTTTCCCTTGTTTCGTTTCGCTTCGTTTCGTCTCATTCTTTTTTTTTTATTATTCTCCACCCCTCAGGAACATCTCCTTCAGCGCTTAGAATAAGAGTAACTGTGCACGGAGGTGGCCGTGGTAGTACAAAAAAGAATAAATGAGAGGGGAATTTGTTCGTCTTTTTAAAAAAATTCCATTCACCCGTATCCCCTCTGCCGACAACTCATATATAATGCCTAAAAGATTGATTTCCGTTAAAAATCAAAACTAGAGAAGACAAAACTAGACGGAAGGAAATTCAAAGAAAAATAGGTTATTTCATGGAAAGAAGAACAAAGCAATCATTAAACAAATCAAAGAGAGAAAATGATGAAAACAGAAGCAATACAAGGAAAAGAATATTAAGAAAAACGATAAGAAACAGATGAGGATAAATGTAGATTAAGAAAATGAAAGAAAGAACCGAATCAAAAAAGAAAGTGAAAGTAGAAGAAAAAAGAGACGAAAGATGACTGATGATCATGATGACAACAATTACAACAAACAACAAAGAAAGGGGGCCAGGGGGGAAACAGAAAAAAAAAACTATATAAAGTATAAATAGTAAATAATTGGAAAAAAAACTAAAACAAAGAAGAAAAGAAACGGAGAAAAAATAGAAAAACTAAGTAGAATGAAAGAATATCAAATAAAAGAAGGAAGAAAGATATAAAATAGGAAAAGAGAAAGAACAAGAAGAAAAGAGGAGGAGGAATAATGATGACAGAAAAAGAATATAATAAAAGTATAAATGAAAGGAAGCTGAAGAGAGAAAGAAATATATATATATATAAAAATAACTAAACAGGCACAGTGAACACCGAGAAAATATAGAAATGTACAAATAATCGATGATATTTAAGCTTCGCGAAATACGGCTATTGTAAACAACAAACCAATTTTCGGCTTATATTTTCCGTTTTATTTTTTATTTTTTCCATAACGGAATCGTTCACTTATTCACAGAGCTTCTTTTCTTTCGCGATTGTAACATTTTAGATGTTTTATTTTTATCTCACTTTTGTTTTGTTTTTTTTTTTTCATTTTCTTGCTATTTATTATTATTTATGAAGATTTTTGTTCTTTCTTTAAAAAAAAAAAAAAAAGAGAGACAAATTAAAGAAAAGAGTAAGAGCTGAAATGTCTTTACCGTATCCTTAGAAGAATTTGCATTTATACTTAAAAAAAAAAAAAAAAAAAAAAAAAAAAAAACGACGCCGTCTGGGAAAAAATTGGAAACATTAGCGATTCTATAAGTAACGTTCTGTTTTGACATATCTGCCCTTTAAGCACCTTTCGAACGACTTTCTCTGACGACTTTAAGAGCGAGAACCCAGAGACTCAGAAAAAAAAAAACTTAATCGAATGGAATATACAAGCAAAAGAAAAAAGAGGCTGGCCAAAGTTAATTCTCAAACAAAAAATAATGTAACTGAAGCAAATATATAAAAAAAAATATATAAAATATATATATATATATATATATATATATATATATATATATATATCTTTAAACATGAATTTATAAGCATGCTGTCAAAGAATGCTGTTCCGACTCACCCCAACCTATTTTTTTGTAAACTGTGAGACAGTCAATACCAATCCATGTTCCTAATACAAGCAACCTACTTTGCTCTACCGACCTGCATCATCATTTGCCTTCATTCAGTTCCTCATCGTTAACCCTTACCACTGCTATCAAACCTCGTCATTCATTTATAACCGCCTTCGATTTCTTTCACCTTAACGTATTAGATTTGATATCCATAAAGATTTTAAAGTGTATGACGACGTAGTCATTCCTGATCAGTTTAATTAACGGAACGAATTTTTTTCTAGTTTCGATGTTCGATCTTTATACTGTTTCTCTTCGTTCATTTATTCATTTCTTTTCTTTTCTACCCAGCCTTTACGCACAATACCCAAGCTTCTTTTTCATTTTCACCTTCCCCACATGTCGAATTCACATTATCGACTTCATCTACGTCCCAGTATATCGGATTACATTCGATCTGCACATGCGCTCACGGCCGTAAACGTACACACATAAATATGCATGTTAAAGTATATGCACATTTACAATCCCACATGCACGCATTGCGAGGTATTTGCACATAGGAGTAAAATCAAATGCATTAAAAACAGAAGCTGTACAACATACATGCATAAAAAACAATATTCTAAGAAAATGATAAAAATTGAGTTATTTTACATATACACATATATTTATACTCATCTGTAGATATAGTGGCAGCACGAAAAGTTCATTTTGGGCACAAGAGTTGGTCATTTGAAAATACGAACAATGAAAAAGTGAAAATTAAATATTGAATAAACTGTAAAATAAAAAAACGTTAAATAAAATTTGCATTAGCATTTCATTTAGGATTCCACCAGGCATACATATTAGAATTAGAATTAGAATCGTAAATGAAAATAACCTTTGTGCCACAAAAATCCGAAATAACACTATTTGTCATAAATGACACCAGATATAACAGCTACCTGCTAATGCTTTTTTGAGTAATTTTAGAACGTTTACGCTGTTATACATCACTCTTTACTTTTAACCGTTCTGACATAACTGTAAGAAGACTTTGATGAGATGGCTATTGAAAAGAAAAAAAAACAGGATGGTTTGGTTTCATGCTTTTTCTAAAGATCTTATAGCGAAAGTGACATTAACAGCCGTCAATATAACAAATCAGCTCCCCGTTTCCGTACTAATAACATTATTTCTTACTACAAGATCAGTTTTGTGCCAACTTTAGAAACATTGATTAGGTCAGAGCCAAACAGGCCTAATTATTTACCTGGTGTTTATAATATCTGTCCTAAAATGAAAAACACCTTCAATTTTAAAGGAAATTTTAATGGAATTTCTTTAAAAGCAAATTCAGATTTAAGTTACTTGAAAGTATTTTCTGTAGTGGTGTAATTTTTATTCATCATTTTAAGAAAATTTATTTTGGAGAGCTATTTTTTAAAATAAAAATATGATGTCAACTAATTAATAAGAGTCAATATAGTTTTATTAACGAAACAATATTTACAAAAAGAAAATGTTATATGGTTGCGCCTTTTGCCTCCGAAATCTGAACGCCATGGCCTGTTGCCAAGTTTGCTAATTTATCGAGCATATATTAGGGGCAAGTGGCCAAGTGGTTAAAACCTTTACATTCTGACGATGATACTCGGGTTCGAATCTCACCATGATCGATTTGTCAGGAAGGTGGCTTCCTGATATTAGAGGTCGATCCCAGTGTGCGACACCTTTGGAAAGTACCTTAAAAAATACCATACTATGGTTGACCCAATAATTGTGAGTGAAATTAGGTAGACGAAACCCTTGGCGGCTGTCGATGGATATACTAGCACGAAGTCACAAATCATAATGTTCGAGTCAGCTGGCCGTGTTCAAACTGTTGATCATGCTAGATAACACGCTCTTTTCCAGAAACTGTAACTAAGGTCTGCTCAATATAGCTGCAGTATAAACCACAGATGGGTTCTGTGGATGTTGAACAAACTCAAATGCGCGTGAGTAAGCGTCTACAATAAGGATTGGCTAACCGTCCTACTAGACGGGTATCCTCGAATACGAGTGGCCAGCTATACATATTAGGGCAGCTTTTTTTTCAAACTGTGGGCCCCTTCAGTGGGTCAGGAGATAATTAAATGGGTCGCGACAAAAAGAAAGAAAAACATACGCAAATGAGAGCAAAGAGCAGAATATAAACAACTCTAAATGTTGCACAGCAAGAACCCATTGTCACAACTTTTTGAGTATGATATTTGGTTTTCGAAACTGGCTTACTTAATTAATATTTATGTATTTTTTAATGATTTAAACAAGAAACTTCAAGGGAAAATCGGCAGTATATTTCAATATGTTCAATATATTGAAGGGTTTCAGAAAATATTGGAGCTGTGGCAAAAAAGACTTAAAAGTGATCATCCTATGTATTATATTTTTTCGACATTGTTATAACACAATGCTGAGAACATTGTCAGTGGTGACATATTAAGAGTATTAAAACTCGAGATCTTGTCACATCTCACTTTCCTATCTCAAAGCTCCGAGGAGAAATTTGAGCCAGTGAAGAAAAACCTTTGGATCAAAAATCCATCTGCTTTCCAAATCCCTGAATCAATAATTGAGTTAAACTTGTTGCCTGAAGAGGAAGCTGGATTACTGTATCTTCATTGTTCCTTCACACTTCCGTCACATGATTTTGAGAAATTAAATTTGTGCTCATTCTGTGTTAAGAACAAACAGGAAATTCCACTACTGAGTAAAAAAAAAAAACTATTTTATTGCTATTGTCTTAAACAACTACTTACTTGTGTGAACTGGGATTTTCAACATTAACTCAAATTAAGATTAATCTTTAGGGGTAATTCTCCCATGCATCCATTATATCCTTCAAAAGAGGGATATTGGGTTTTCTTTGAAAATATCTCTGGCCATCATTCCCCATTTATTGTTAAATGCCATTACAAGTGAATACACTGAATTACGAAATAGATTTCTTTGCTGAATGGCAGTTGACATTATCTTGTCGAAAGATCTATATTGGTCGCTTTGGAATCAAGTTGTTTCTTGTTACTTGTTTTCGTATCCAAGTACCGGTAACAATAACATGATATAGCCCACAATTCTCTTGACTTTTGCAATCGAAGCGGGGAAGGGTTTGAATGCAGAACACTGGAACTCTTCCACATTCATCATCAATTCTGGTATAGTCAAACTTGTTTGACATAGTCCAACCAGATTTTGGCGTTGTCGTCCATTCCTACGTCCACCTTCAATATATATATATATATATATATATATATATATATATATATATATATATATATATACTAGACTCTCTTGTCGTTTTTACGACGTAAGAGGGTCACACAATTCAGTGTCTAGCTGTGGTTCCTAGAACCACAGCTAGACACCTCACCTTCACATATGATTTGATTATAGTGGTGAAGGCTTTGTGCAAAGCCAACCACACTTTTTTTTTCTAAGAGCCAAATACAGAGACCTGGTGCACCATCAGACACAAGTTCATCAAACGCAGTTGTCCTTCTCCTACACAAGTTGTCATCCAAGGCTATAGAACACAGTCTGTCCTGATTTTTCCCATAGCTAGAGGAGAAGAAGAGGATTCATACCTCTTCCAACTGTATTATCCCGTAAGTAAATGTAATTCGAACTCGATTCCTGAACCCGATCCGAGCCGCTATCCACTACTCCACGTGCCACTATATATATATATATATATATATATATATATATATATATATATATATATATATATATATATATATATATATATATATATATATATATATATATATATATATATATGCAGTTGTTATAATATTTGTGTATGAGATATTAAGTGGGGTAGTGGCTCTAATCTAAAGGAATCCAAAAATATTAGAAAATCAGTCTTTAAAAAATTAGCTTTATATTAAAAAACAACCTTATTTCAGAAAAGAATAGGAAAATTTTTGGATTATAAGAATAATTCTTTTTCTTTCTGTGTGAATATTGCATTAACGTTATTTTAAGAATAGCAATGGCTTTTTCAGGTACATACAAGACCTATTTACCTCGTAGATATTTGGGGAGAGATGAGAATCCATACTTTTCCCAATGGTATTTGCGCGTAATTGAAAATAAAGAATACGACTATAACTCGAACTCTGCTCTTTCGCTATTCATTACACCACCTTCACATCCACGGTGAATCAAGTAAATT